GGAACGCTCTGGTACAAGGTCAAGTGGACAGGCGTGGAGGAACCGACTGTTGAGCCGTGGGAGGTGTTTGGAGAACACCATCGAATGACGGAGGCATTTCATAAGGCTAACCCGAACAAGCCTACTCGGGAAAGTGCCAAACGCAAGAAGCGCTAGTGCTTTGGGAATGTCTCGAAAGGGGGGGAAAGAAAGGCGGAGTGTTATGGATTGATGTGTATCTGTATTTGGAGTGTGTTCACTCGTCGCTTTGTATAAGTGAAGTCTCTTGTTTCCCTATCATCACTCTCATCATCAACCCATTACTCGTATCTTCGTGGAAGGATCTCTGATCATAACAGCACTCCGCCGCCTCCTTGCCAGAGACATGTTGGCTGATGTAGTAGAATGACGTCCGACTGGGTTTGGCGCTGCAGTGAGCAGTAGGGAAGACGTGATGGCGATGAACATGAAAACGCCAACCTTTGACGATGCACCACCATCTCCAAGCGCGTCAGAAACCGAGCTTCAAGCCCTAATTATATGCGACAAGTATCTGTGTTTTGAGTATTGAGCCTTTTGCGGTGGTTGTGACGATGAGTCTCGCGCTTGGAGGTCAAAAGTCGCGTCAAGTCAAATGTCGCCCTGTCAACCCTATGACCAAACGGGACTGGTCCGCCCATTTTTTGCCCATGAATATATATAATATTGTAGGTTGGACGAAATTAGAGTGGCGGGTCTGGGAGGCTGACACACGCTCAGATCGGCAATCCTCAACCCCGCCGCCCATTTTCAACCGAGCCCCCTGAGATGGCATCTCGACTTCATGCTCCTTTCTCTCGTTTCGTCCAACCTACGAATATAACTAAATGCATCCTGAAAGTGGCGGCGAGTAGGATTGAAATCCCTAGAAAAACATAAGGCGACACGTTAAATGACAGGCGGGGTGTAACAAGTGGGCATTCAGCGTGTTCAGCATTGACCCTTGACCCTTGACCCCTTCCCCCCTCGCCGGCACCACCTTGGTTATCTATGAGAAGTCATTGAGTGAATTGTCATAAAACAGCAAAACCCAGAACACGCCCTGAGAGCTCAAAAGGAGTGAAGCTTGTTCGAACGGCGGCAAACCAAAAAAAAAAAAAAAACAAAAAAAAAAAAAAAGTCGACAACACCATCAATGCAACATTGGTGTCTTCAATTGGCCATGATGAAGCTTGATACAAGAAACAAACTAACTCACCATCGATGCCCGCCGTTGACGATGCCCAAAGCACTCGATCGGTTTGGCAGGTTCAGTCCGTCCTCGCTTCTTTGGACACGATGCTGAGAACCGCGCGATTCTTTCGCCTTCCGCTCGCTCCAATCAAAGCGGCGCTCTTTAGTGCTGCGAGGCGTAGCCCGGCTGCTGCGGCATTCCGTGCTGCTGATCCGACTGCCAAGTGCCTGTCGACCAAGGCGGCTGCGACGACGATCGTTCAACGTCCGGATGGTACGCTTCCTTTGCTCTTGTTGCTGTGCGAGAACGCAGCATTGACCGACCATCACTCTCACCGACTTCTTTTGTGTGTGTACTTGATTTGTTGACCAGCACCAAATGGTAGGCGGGGTCTGTTTGATCTGAACCTGCCCTTGGTCAACCGGCACGATAGCTTAAAAGAAGCTGTCGAGAATCTGGCCGACAAATCCAAGCGGCCTAAGGGCATGTTGTTCACTCTACCTCAAATGTTCGGCTCGGGCAAGACAAGCTTTGTGGAGCACATTGGCAATGAGCGCAATCCCCACGCTAAGGAAATCCTCGATTCGGCCCCGGCAATCAAAAGGCCGCTGTACGAGTCCGTCCTCAACGCGCGCTACATCCTCATCGACATGAGCAGCATTGACGGCAATGGCGTGGATAAGAACATGGCGATAGACCTTCAAAAGTTCATCCTTGCCCGTGTTCGACAACTGCTCCCCGCCGCCCGCTCGTTTGTCGCCGAAGGCATGTCCAATTCCATGATGCTCACAGAACTACAAAAGCATGCCGGTGTCCCTCTGCTCCTCCACTTTGACGAGATGGGCGCCATCGAGAATTCTGACTTCGATCCGTGGTTCCCTGGTCCTGAGTACCGCTGTTCCAACCCGATTGACGTGTTCGCGCCGAACACTGGAGCCTTGCGTCGTCACTACACGTTTTGGTCGGATTTCCTTGCACCGTGTGCTCGGGCAAGTCGGTCGCATTTAGTCTCATCCAGCACGGGCTTCTCAGAGCTCCAAGCGATGCGCCTGTGGATTCGAGCACCGCTGACCCTCACATTGCCATGACATCGCCGTCAGAATTGCAAACGATCATCCTGCCACCACTTGGCGGCGAGCACATTGAAGAGATTCTGCACCGACACCGCCCTGATGTCAGCTCCCCAGAGCTGATTGATACCCTCGGTCTGCGCGACAAGCATGCTCAACGCCTTGCCTTCACCGAATGCGTTCACACTCTCACCGCTGGTGTGCCACGTCTGGTTTCGTATGCGCTGCAAGTGCCCTGGGGCAGCGGCATCGACTTTGGCGCCATGACACCAGACGAGATCCGGGCGTACTTCGCCCTCGGTACCACTCAAGCGTCCATCGCCAGTGTCTTCCTCATGAACTCGCTCGAGATGACCGCTGTGATCAGTCGCCCGCATGATCCACTGTATCTGGCGAGCGCCAACATTGTCCGTCGGGCGCTCGCGGGTGAGGTGTTCGATCCCAAGTCAACAATCGAAGTCCGCGTTCCAGGAAAACCTGACCCTGTTCAAGTTCAAGTTCTACTCCTGTTGGACAGACTCTTCTGTTACACCAAGCCCGTGGATTCCTCTCTTGGACCTCAAGTTCAAGTCATCCTGCCGCAAATTGTTGGCACTCGGAAGGAACTGGCTCTCGCGACCTTGATCATCGAACTCGCAGGCACCGTCGTTACGTCGGAGACACTCGAGGGGCTGGCGGTGTGGTCCATCTTTGCTGCACTCCACCGAGCCACAATTGGCGACGCCAGTAGCAGCTGGCTGCTGGCCCAATCGAAGGGCGTGCTTCCTCAAGCAGTGCTCGACTCGGATGTCGTGCAGCATATTCTCCAAACATCTGCGCCTCATCAAGGCATTGGCTTTGACGAGCGGACGCTGAGCAAGCGTGCGGGCTCGATCACCGTCTCCGTTGCACACGCGACCAGCGCGAAGCGCCATGGCATCGACGCAGCTGCATTGCCGGATCAGTTGGTGGCACGACTCGTGGAACTCCGGACGACAATTCCGACTGGACCTATTGCGGTTGTCGAGTGGATTGGCAAAGCGTCCCAGTCGTCTGATGGAATGATTGCTGTTTGCACGGCCGCAAGCCCGACAGTGCAAAACACTGTCTGGATCGGTGTTGCCTGCAAGCTTTTCAATCGAAACAAGATGTCGTTCACCGGCCCAACCATTGTGAATGAGGACATTGAGCGTCTGAGTCGCCACTTTGCTCATCTTGAGAAGAACCTCCGACCGCGCCAACTTCTCATCTCGGTGTTGTCCAGGCCACCAAACTACCTCAAGCCTTCCATGAATGGCAAGCTGCTCGAAGGTCGGGTCACAATGTCTGGCGCAAAGAACAAGAAGAAGAAGAAGGAGGAGGAGCTCGAGGTCATCGATATTCCCCCGCGGATGCAAGTGGCGCTTTGGGATCTCGATACTCTGAACAACGTCGTCGATCCTTCTCGCAAACTTACCTTTCCGGACCAAACATAGTCATCGCCGTTTTTGTCAACAAATACAGATTTTTCGAGTCCTTTGTGGCTTGGCGAGCGCGTCTTGTTTCGAAACGCGACTTGATCAAACAATTGTGCAATCCTGACACGGCACAGCTCTCTGTCACTTGTGCAATCATCGCTATCAGCATTTGAGTTTTTGTTCATTCTCACATTTAGCACTGCTGCTCAGAAATCTGAGAAGCTCAGTCTAACAGTTGTTGTTCCCTTTTCTCAACAGCCGCTTTGCTCCACATTTCATTGGGCGGAGTGTGCGTGTTTTTGAATACAATATAGTTGATCTAAGTTGGGGATCCCATCAGCTCTATCTGAATGGCAAGGTGGACGCGGCTGGCTGTCCTTGGGCTGCTGGCGCTGGTGCTGGTGCTGGTCGGCGTTGCGGTGGCCGAGCGTGATGACATCGCCCAGCCTCCCCTCGAACAACAACAACAACAACAACAACAACAACAACGCAGCAATCACAATCACAAGCACGAATCATTGCGCACCGGTCGCAGATTGCTCACGCTGGACGACGCCGACGACGAGGACCAGTTTGGGAGCGATGACGACGACGACGATGGTGATGATCACGACGGAGGCCGTCATCATGATGGCGATGGTCATGCTGGTGCTGCAGGACGCTACAAGAAGCCCAGGCCACGCGGGAGTCTGAAGGTAAGGGGACGGGAGATAGAAAAAAGCCAAATTTGGGCGATTTCTGAGCAACTTGGCGTTAAAAGAGCAACGCAATGCAAACGAAAACTACCAACAAAACCATTGAATCGTTTGTTCTGATTCTGTCGTGCAGGTCAAACGAGCGCCGCTGACATTGTCAACAGCACAAGTCAAGGAACTGTCAAAGCAAATCGACATTGGCCATCTCTGGACTGATCTCCTGCAACCGCTGCTCATTGAGCGAGTGCCTGGCACTCCAACTCACCAACAAGCTGCAAAGGTAAACCCAAACAAACTAGCTTCTGCATTGCATTTCGATTTGCTCGAATCAAAAATGAAATCCGCACAACCAACTCAACGATTGCTTTTTGTGATTTACCCCCGCGCCTCCGCTGACCCTCTCAGCACATCGAGGACACACTCACGGCGTTGCCTGGATGGCGTGTCACCACAGACACCTTCAACGACTCAACACCTCTGGGAGTCCGGCCGTTCAAAAACATTGTGGCCACGCTCGAACGACCAGGCGCGACACGGCGGTTTGTTCTCGCAGCACACTACGACTCAAAGTACTTTGCGCCGCCAGTCAAGTTCATTGGCGCAACCGATTCTGCGGCGCCGTGTGCCATCATGCTGCACTTGGCAGAGCTCATTTCCAAAGAGCGCGTCGAATGCGTCAACCGAGGCGACTCGGCTCACTCTGCCTCGCTCGGCTCTGGCGAACGCCGCAGCCTCGCAGAACAGCACGCTTCGACCGTTTGCTCCTTGTCCGAGAGCGCCTCGACAGGCGACGCGACGCTGCAACTCGTATTCTTTGATGGCGAAGAGGCGTTTCAAACCTGGACGGCCACCGACTCCATCTACGGATCACGCCACCTTGCCGCTCTATGGGAAGCCAACGACAAGTCAGAATCACCAAGTCCAAGCCAGCTGCATTCCACACTTTGCGGCATCGATACGCTCATGCTGCTGGATCTTCTTGGCGCGAAAAACCCGACCATCCGCGGCTCGTTTGACAATACGCTTGCTATTCACGACAGTGTGGCTGATATTGGTGAGATGATTGGTTCTTTGATGCCAGCAGGGAGAGCGAGACAGAGGCTCAATTTTGCTGCGACTTTTTTTCTGGTGTTGAATGCGGTCCCCACTTTCCCCCCCCCTCCCCAACCTCCACAGAACAACGCCTGGCCAATCTAAAGCTCCTCAAGGGACGAACGCGCCCCTTCTTTTTGCCGTCGAATGGACAGGTGGCGATGGCGTACCGAGTCGATGACGATCACATCCCGTTCTTGCAACGCGGCGTCCCCATCGTGCAC